AAAGAAAAAAAAAAACGAATGTAAAAGATGTTGCGTAAGGCGTACGCCATGTTTAAAAAAAAAAAAAGTTTTTAATTGTCTTTATTTTGCTCTGTTTTGTTTTTAATTTTTCCTCCTCACTATGCTTCTTAATAAGAGGAAAATGGAAAATGTTTTAAAACTTTAATCCGTGTCGTTTACGTAACGGTTATCACGACAAGTTTTTTTTCTCCCTCCCCTCCCCTTCTCTTCCCTTCTCGAAAATGAAGTTTTTAATAGTTTTTCCCCTTTAGTTTTTTTTAATTTTCATAATGGTTAAGAAAATATTTAATCGTTTTTTTTTTTCCAAGTATTTTATTTCTATCTCTATTATTATTATTATTATTATTATTACTTTTTTTTCCGTTAAATTTGTAGGCGCGAGAATTATGTATAGTTTTGCAATTTTTGTATTTTACACAAATGTAACGTTTACATGTGTTTAGTTTTTAAAAATTTGAGTCACTTATCAGTGTTAATTCCTACTTAACGTAATATGAAAATTGTTATTGGGTCGCGCAGGAGTGTTTTGTTCCTTAAACACATTTTTTTTTTTTTTTTGTATTTGGTGACACTAATGAGTAAGTGTAGGAAATCGAATTTCAACAGTTACAACACGTCGCGTGTATTGATCGATATCGATCGATAAAAAAATGGGAAAAATGGAAAAAATGGAAAAAATTAGTTTGAAAAACAAATCAAATCGACTTCTTGAGTTCGTTTCTTTCTTTTTCTTTTTTTAAATATTTAATTAATTATTTTGTCATTGTTTCGAGGCTGTCGTATGGAAATTTTAATTACGATCGCGAGAATAGGATTGATGATGATGATGATGATGAGGACGAGCGAATAAATAAAAAATGATAATTTAACGACATTGAAAAAAAAAAATAATGTTGGCAATATTTTCCCGGGTTAATTAAATCATAGAGTAAAAACGAATAAAATGATTTAGGAAATTTATTAGTTATTATTATTCAATGCACAATTTCCTTTTGTACTTAAAAATTAATTTTATTTATTTTTTCGTCTCGAAAAATCATCTGAATGAAATCGAAATGGAAAATAATAATAATAATAATAAAAAAAATAAAAAGTCACCCTTAAATTTTTTAAACGTTGATTAAAAAAAGAAAATATTATATATTTTGGAAAATAAGTATTATGGCGTCAGATTAGATTAAAAAAAAGGCGGGAAAATGTATTTTAAGTCTCATTCAGAGTAACTCTATGACGTCGTTTGAAATTTAAAATAATTAGTTTTTATGATTGTTGTTGTTGTTGTTGTGGGGCGGATTTGTTATCACGATTTGATTGTATTATTTTTATTTTTTTATTTGTTAATTAATATAAAGTTTTTCAAATGTGGTGCGTGTGTGTGCGCAATTTAATTTTGTTAAAAATGAAATGAATTTTCACAAAAAAAAAAAAAAAACGTGCGAAATTAGTCGTCTAATGTCGATTTATTTGTGATAAAAAAATGCCAAAATGTCAATAAGCCTAATCAACTTGTTTGTTATTTTATTTAAAATAAAACAAATAATTACAATTTATTTTAAAGTATTAAAAAAATTTTTTATCAGAAAATTTAAAAATTAATTTAAAAGAAAATTTAGATTCGTAGTATTTTCTAAAAAAATGTGGAGGGTTGGATTTTTTCTTTCGAAACTTAATAGGGAGGCACGGGGTAAAACAACAAATAAAAATTGTTCAATATAAAAATTTTTATTTAGTTTTTTTTTTCCTTAATAAATTTTGAATTTAGGTTTGAGAAGTAGGTAAACAGGGTATTTGTGGTCTATGTAAAATAGAGTAATTTTTTTTTTTTTATTATTATTTAAATTGTTTTAAATTATGTTTAAAATTAAATATGTTTATTTTGCGATACGCAGGTTGCTTATGGTGTCAGGCTCATTTGACTTAATAGAAACCTTAATTTTATTTTTTAATAGTTTTAATAATCCATCTTTAAAAAGTGAAACAAATAGTAGTTTTATTTAAATAGGATTCGTTTTAGGTTTTTGTAATATAAACATTGTTGTGCCGAACGTGTTTCGATTGTTTGATTGTTTGCGTCTGGCTTGTTTTGTGCAGCAGCAAAAAAATCGTTTTTTATTTTATTCGTACAATTTTTTACGAGAGGAAATTATTATTATTTTTGTAATATCAAAAGCTATCGATTCAAACCCTTATGACGCGGATTATATAAGCCATCTTTTATTTAAAAGATTAAAAAATTTTTTACCACATCAACTTTCATCCTTCTTAATTCAATTTTCCCCCCCCCCTCTCTCTTCTCTCTCTCTCTCTCTCTCTCTCTCTCTCTCTCTCTTTTCAATAACAAATATTTCTCTCGTACGCACAATGAATCGTCCCTTTTTTATTATTATTATTATTATCACGATAATAATAATAATGTTTTCATACATTACGAATTAAAGGAAAACCTTATTTAGATCTAACGCCAAACTTTATTTAGATTATTTATTTTTTTATCGAGGTCATATTTAAGAATAAATTTTAAGCTACCTAAAAATGTGTTTCGGTAAAAGAGGTTTCGTATAAAAAAAAAAAAAAAAAAGGTAGAAACTAAATTTCTCTAGGGACGAGTTTTAAAAAAAAAAAGAGAGAGAGAGAGAGAGAGAGGATGAAAATTTTGTTAAACAACCTTTTGTTGTTGGAAAATTAAACAAAACGCCAATAACGTTATTAACTTAGTTAGTTAGAAATAATTCATTTTTATTCTTATTTTAAAAAAAAAAATTATTATTATTATTATTTCGATAAAAAATTAATAAACTGTCAAATGATAATAATGACAACTTTAAAAAATTATTATTATTATTATTATTATCTTTATTATAGTGCTATAAATAATTTTATCGAACCAAATCATGTGACGTGAATTGTTTAAGTTTTTATTGTTGTTGTTGTTGTTTTTTTTTTTAGTTTAGTTTAGTTTACGTTATAAATTTAATTTAAACATAATGAATTGATCTAGTTAAAATGATTTGAGATAAAAAAAAAATAATAATAAAGTTTAAACAGTTAATAATAATCAATTTATGGTTTTTAATAAAGCAATTGTAAAAAATTGATTTATTAATCGTTGATTATTTAATAACTTTTTTTTATTTTTGCGTTAATAAATTCCATTTTTAAAATTTATTTTTTGTTTTATAAAATCTTTTGATAGTGTTGCTAAGAAATTTTTTCTCACGAGAATATATATTTTACATTATTTAAATTATTAAAAAAAAAAAAAAAAAAAAAACAAAAAACAAAAACGTAAATAAATACATAAATAAATACATAAATATAGGTACGTCAGTTTTATGTAATTATTATTAAGGCTTGACAAGGTTGTTGTTGTTGTTTTTCTTTCTTTTTTTTTTGTTTGTGTTGCGAAAAAAAAGTATTTTAATAAATTAATGTGAAAAATAAGTTTTATTTTCCTTTTTTTTGGTGGTAGTGGTGAATTATTATTATTATTATTGCAAAAGTTATTCTTTTATTTGTTGTTTGTTGATATTCGCAGGTAGCCTTTTCTCTCTCTCTCTCTCTTTCTCTCTTTTTTTTTTTTAAATTAAAAGAATTCGTGTACGAATGTAAAAAAAAAAAAAAAAAATTTAATTATTTTACCGAATGATTAAATTGATTTAAAAATCGAAAATAATTTCCGGGAGCAAAAAGGAACGTTTAAATATAAATTAATAATTGATAATTAATAAAAATTCACGAAGCTATGTATGTATCGTTATGTATAAAAATAAAATAATTTTTTTTTTTTTTTTAAATGACAACGGTAGGAAAGAAAAATGAATTAAAAAATGGGAGTAATTAACAGAGAGAGAGAGAGAAAAAAAAGGATCGTCTGAAGTTCCGATTATTATTATTATTATTATTTTTTTTTTTTTTACATTTGTCAGCCTGTTCGTAAAAACCCTGATAAATTTGTGACAAGAGATGCGTGCAGGAAGTAAAAAAAAAAATGAAAGAGAGAGAGAGAGAGAAAGATAGACAAACAGAAAAGAAGGGAAAGGGAGCTGCTTAGAGTTGAGTTTTTTTTTTTTTTTTTGGTTTAACAAAGAATAATCATCTGCCACCGTGGTGAAACTAGGTCGTCAATATAAAAGAAAAATCCGGTAAAAGTGAAAGCGTGTTCTGAAAGGTTCACCCAACATGTCAACATTGCATTAAATGAATAGAGTTGGCAATTTTAATATTTTTTTTTTTATTTTTTTTTATTCGCAAATTTTTATTTTTTTATATTTCGCAGTAATATAAATCGTATTACTTTTCACATTAAATATTTACGACTACTACGATGATAACTCAAAGAGATGTTTGAAACTCAATAATAATAATAATAAAATTAATTTTTCAATGACGAATTATGTTAAAAACAATATTTGTCGTTTTTTTTCCCTTTCATTTTTTTCCAAAAATGATGTTATTATTGCAAACCTTGCCTATTTTTTTTTCCGCTCAATTTATTATAAGGTCGAAGAAAAATTGATTTTTTTAACGATATTCTTAATTATTATTTTTTATAAAAGAATTATATGTAATTTATAAAATACCTGGGAGTAATTAAACGTTTTTGTGTGTGTTTGATGGAGGAATGAAAGAAGTTTTTAAAGTTACGAACCTTTGGTGAAAGCGTCAATTTTTTTGTTTTGTTCCAAAGAGCTTTGCCGTGGATATTTTTTTTTTTTTTTAAATATCTGCGATTAACATTTATTTTATTTTTATAGTGTTATATTAATTATAAAAAAATTACTTATGTAGAAATTTAAATGTGGTTTACTACGCCTGACCATCCGTTTAAAATTGCAAATCTTAAAACTAAAATAAAAAGGAAAAAAAATGAGTGCGAGTGTGAGAATACGACGGAGTCGCCCAACTGTCGAAAGTGGAGTGGCGGAGGTGGCGGAGGCGGCGGCGGCGGTGGAGAAGCTAAAAAAGCTAATTGGGAGTTTATGAATTTTAATCCGGGATTATTTCGTTACGGGAGACGATGTAGTTCCGTACAAAATTTAGATTTAAGTTGTGAAAGTGAAAAACAATTTCGACGGTGTAATTCAGCCGTTGGAGATCTCAAACCTGATGACGTGAATTCGCTCGAAGTGCCACCCAAAGAGGTTCGCGGTAGAACTTTTCCCAATTTAAGAGGAATCGATCCGAGCACGTTCATGTGCGAAAGTTCTTCTTTCTTATTTGACCTTTACCGGTGTAGTAATTTACGGGCCTCCTCAGACGGTTTTCGTAGGAATTTTTCCGAAAGAAATTTGGGACCTTTGCCCGGTGATAAAAATTGGCTTGACAATTTGCCGAAATACAAATCGCAATTTAATTTATCGTCGGTTCAGCAAAAAGCTCGAAGATCCTCGTTTTTTCATAGATCCAATCAATCGTTGAAGAAAAAAAATTCGCTTCGGGAACAAGATGAGGATGACATGATAGAAAATTGCAAGGGATCGGAAAAGGAATCGCAAAATTTGAATAATATCAAGACGAATAATAATAATAATTGTCAGGAAAATAAAATTGAGAAAAAAAATAAAAACGGAAAGAGGAACAAGAAAAAAAAAGAAGAAAAGAAAAACGTGACGAATGAGAAAAATAATAAAACGTCATCGAAATCGTCTAAGAAAAATCAAAATCCGGATAATTGTTCGGAAAAATCTCGTACCAGTCGAATTTTTACCGGTACCGGATTTGGAAAATCGGAAGCTGTTTCAAATGGTTCACCGCGTTCAAAAAATAGAGGTAGTTATAATAACATTACAAAAAAAAAAATTTCCCTGCCCCTTTTGGCAAAAATTTCCCTTGTGTGTGTGTGTGTGTGTATTTTTTTTTTTTAAAATATGTTGTTGAGCCAAAAAATAAAAATGAAAAATTTCGAAACAGTTAAACAATTTATTTATTAGGAAAAATAATGATGATAAGGTTAAGGTTTGCTCTAAGGTTTGTTCTCACGATGTGTAAATTATAGTGAATCACCACGTGATTGTCTGCGGGGCAGATTAATTATTGTTTTAGTTTAGTTCATTTTGTTATCATAAGTTTTCTTTTACACTAATTTTTCCTTAAAAAATGTCAGTTTTTTTTGTTTAAATTACCTTTTTTTTCCCCGATCAACTTATTAAAACAAAACAAAACATAAATCACAAAGTCAAACTTACTCACCTAATATAATTTTTTTTTTTTTTTTTACATCGTTTGAACGCCCAACATTTGACGTTTTTAAAATATTAATTTTTCATTAATTAATTCCAACAAAAAAAAAGTAAAAATATCGATTGGCAGTCGTGAGAACAAATAAGTTTCAAATTTACTTACATATTGATTTTTGAAAAAAAAAAAATGTTTTTGTAATACGTACAAAACATTAATAAAAAAGAGAATTAAGTCGTCTTTCTTTGTTTGTCGTTTGTCGTTTTAAATAATAAATTTTTTTCTTTTTTCTCTTTCCCCCCCGTCCCTCCCACCTCTCTTTCAGGAAATATAAAAAAAATGGCGGTTTGTGGCTTGCGTCATTGTGTTAGGCTTCACCCACGTATAATTTTTTAACCCGACAGAAAGGAGGAAGGCTTGGTTTGTGTTGATTTTCGAATTTTACAGTCAATTATTTTACCTGAGTTATTATTTTTTTTTTTTTGCGAAAAAAATAATAAATTCGGACGAATACATTGAAAACACACTTAAATAAATTTTATTATTATTATTATTATGTATTTTTAAAAGGTTTTGCGGTTGAATTGTATTTGTTTAAAACGTCGTTAGAATTTTTTCTTTCGTATTCACATCTAATATAAATTAGTTTATTGAATTTTAAAGGGATTCTTACGTAATAAAATTCATAAATTTTTTGGGGGGGGGGAAATTAGGGAAAAATAGCGAAAATTTTAACCTCGAATCTTTATTAGGTAATCGATGAAATTGTTTCGACTAAATGACTAAATTAAATGGTAAAAACGATTCATGTTAAACCATAAAATTTTTAAATCTTTTTTTCACCCCTCCCACTTTTTATTTCTATTTTGCAGGATTTTTTTCGTGTTTTGGAAATTCATTTTTTTCCTTCTCCGATTTTCTTCTTCTCCCCAACAATGAGATTTATTTTTTTTTAGAAATCTAGCATAGAAATAGGTGGTTGTTTTTAAAAAAAACATTGAAAATTACACTTTAAATCTATTGTAAAAATTGTTCTACAAATATGTAGGTTAACGCCGATCGCTTTTTTGAGGCATCCCAATTAACGTGAAATCAATTTTCTTTTTAACTGGCGCCGTTGTAACCATGCTTATATAATGGCCCTCGATAAAATAACAAGTGGTTCAGGGATGAAAAGGAGATTAGGTTTGAGTAATTTTATTTTTTTTATTTTATAATTATAATTTATTCAATTATGAATAATTTTTTCCTTCAGCCTGTTCAGTGTTACGTGAAGGCCGTAGCATGGGATGAAAGATAATGGAAATGGATTTTTTAGCAAAGTTGATGAGGCCTTCGTCGTCGTTTCAATTCTTCTTCTTATTCTTTTTGCAAAAAATACAATGTGCAACCTTTGTTTTTTTTATTCCAGCCTATAAAAAGATGTCACATTAAAATGACATTTTTAATTTGTGGTACAAAGAGAGAAAACAATCATCGTCGTTTGCCCCTGACGTGCCCCGTTTTTTAAAAATTATTATTTGTTTTCTTTTCTCTCTCTCTCTCTCTCTATCTTTTTCAACGCCTAATTTATGCTTGGAAAACGACGATCCTTTGATATTAATTATTAGTGTTGTTAGGATAAAAAAAAAAAAATTATAATTTTTTTTTATAAACGTTATGGAAATGGAAATAGAATGGAAGAGATAAGAAAAAAACAAAGGAAGGTTGACGAATTAATTATTTATATTTTCCAGGAGATCGACCGGTGTCTGGCCTTCGGGGTATTGAAAAACGACCGGACACAGTCCGCGAAAGCGAAGAGAGACTTCATAACGACGATGATGGCAACGTCGATGATCATATTAAAAATGATGGGTGAGTAACGTTCGACATTTTTTCTTCTTCTTCTTTTTTTATATTAAAATTGAATATTTTAATGTCATTTAACCTCATGATGTCGAAATCTAAGAAGAGAAGCGAAATTTCTTTGAGCAAAATCATCAACAACTGAAGGTTATGACTTTTTTTTCTAAAAAAAATTTAAATTAATTACGAATTTTATTAATTGAACTTGATCTATATATACATTTATCAGTTTTAAAAAATGTCCGTCCGTCCGTCAAAATTAATAATGAAATCAAATGAACTTGAATATTATTTAAAATAAATAATTTAAAAAAAATTAAAGGAATTAAACTGATGACAATAATATGAGATAAAGAGACAAAAAGAAACAAATATTTTTTATTTTTCGCATTGATGATTATTTTAACGAACGGGTACGAGTACCGAGTAATGGTTGAGTTTTAATTTAAGTTGAACTATTAAATTATATTTAAAAAATTTAAAAATTTGCGGCGACTTAATTTTTCTGTCGTGTTTACATTAAATCGATAAGACCGAAGATGGGGCAAATCGTGTTTTCGCTTATTTATAATTTAATCAATTTCAATGTCAGATACTGATTTTATCAATATTATTATTATTTCTATTAATTTTTAAGTTGTTTACGTTGGTAAGAATGATGAAAATTAAAAGCAATAGCACCAACTTTTGATTTTCTACGTAAATACGTACATATATGTAATTTTGCAGTCGTACGAAAATTTTTATTTTTTTTCATAAAAAAAAATGTGTAAACCCTTAAGAGGATTAGGCGTAATGTGATCATCAGCTGTAATAAGCAAGTATTCTTACGTACGTACGTTTTAGGTTTTTTTATTATATACGTTTGGATATAAATTTTATTATTATTTTAAAGAAAATCATTCGTATTCAGGGAAAGGTTTTTCTCTCTCTCTCTCTCTCTCTCTCTCTCTCTCTTTTTTTTCTTTTTGAAACGATTTAAATTCCACACTCGTGAAAAATCTTCGAAATGGTTTCGTACTTTTCAAGGTTTTGGTTTTTTTTTTTTTTTTTTTTCTTATAAAAGTTTCAAAAAAAAAAGTTTTAAATGAATGCCCTTTTCATTTTTTAATTTTTAAATAATGGCATGAATAATAAAAAAGGGAAAAAAAAACTCGAGGGTTTTGTGTAAAATTTTGTAATTTGGTTGCATAAAACAGAATGGTAGAGAACATTATCGTAAAAAAAAAAAAAAGGAAAAAAAAAGGAAAAAAGGAATCCAAAGAGCTAGTTTCAATGGCAACTGCTAACACACACACACACGTGTTGGTCGTTTTTGAAAATTTTTTTTTTTCACATCGTCGCAGATCGAACCCAGTTAGCCCAGAATTAAATTTCCAGTCGTTCGTATGCAAGCGTTCGCGTAGGACGCCCATCGATTCGCACAAAATTTTTTTACTTTCATGTAACCTTTTTTCATTTTATTTTATTTACATAAATTGTGAGTGAAATATGTTATATCGCGTTTCGTACAAAAAAAAAAAGAAAAATTTATTTAAACGATAAACGCATAACGAATAATTTTTTTTTTTTTTTAAAATAAATACGTGTATTTTTTAAATAGTGTGTAAAGGGGAGCGTCATGAAAAGTGATGGCGAATCATGTTTGATTTACATCTAATACATTCGATTCGTATCAGTGACTGATTGA